AGGTTTCACAGCTAGTAAATCACACAGCATAATATGCATACATCCAGGTCTATCTGACTCCAAAGCCTGAGTCCTTAACTATTCTGACATGACCAGAAAGAAAGGGCCCGTGAGGGATGTGGCAAGAGAGATCCAGAACCAGAAGGCAAGAATATTACAGAGGCTTAGCAAGGTTGGGCTGTCTCAGGTACATAATGGGGGCATCACAGGATTTCACAAAGGAAACCGGAATGATGAGATTTATAGTTTAGAAAGATGACTCTGACAGCTTCATAAGAACTACTTAGAGAGAGACAAGAACAGAGGCATAGAGCGCAATTAGGAAGTTTTCCTCCAAGTACAGGCAAGAAATTATGAACTAAGTCTGTGGCTGTGAGAATGGAAAGAAAGGCCAGGTTCTACGAGGCGGAGGAGGCAGAATAACAGGACCTGAGTGTGCAGCAGTAAGAGGGGTGGGGTCCCTACGGCACTTAACCTGTATACAGCGATTCTAGGACCTGTCTCCTAAGGTAACCCCCCAGCATACTGCCTGGAATACAGGACATGCCCAACAAATGTCTACTGCATTTGTGAATTCCGGCGTAGACGTGGCTGACTGAGGGAAGTCTTTCAATGACATAAGAAATACAAATAGAAGAAGAACAGATCGGGGGACGAGGGAAGGTTGGAGAGAATCAGTAAGCAAATATAAGCTCCAGAAAGAGTTCTGGCTGGAAAGAATTTTGCTGAATAGATGGCAACTGAAACTCTGGGTGCAGTCACCTGGAGATGAACGAGATGAATAGAAAGGAGGGGCCTGCAATGAGTTGAGTTAGGAGATTCCGCAGAGAGGGGGTCGCAGAAGCCGAGTGAGGAGTCTTAAATCAGTGCAAAGAAAACAAAAACTTCCCAACTTCCCCAGCTGGCCAACAGATGGCATCAGATTGGAGTAGCCCCGGATTCGGATACTGAGGGGAGTAGGGGGCCTCCCCACCACAGAAGGAATCAGGCAAGGTTCAGAAGGCCGGGCCTCACACGGGCAGGACCAGCGAAGGAGCGCCGCAGCGGGCGCTCACGTTGCCCGAGCCCCCACTCCTTCACCGGCCGCCACCCACTCACCCGCCAGGACCCCGCTGCCCATTCAAGAGCGGGCGAACGAAGTTCTGAAGCTACGACCCTCTCTCGGCCGCTCCTTTTTCACTTTTCTCAGTTCCCGCCTGCACTCGTGCACATCTTGCTCGCTGGCCGACCAGGTGCCTCAACTCCCCCGCAACCCTTCTCTCCCCAGCACACCACCCTGCCCCTCCCCGAGAAGGTCCTCACCGGTCTCCCACCAAGACAGGCTCAGTCAGGGCGAGGACTGTGCGCCGCTTCCCCAGCACCACCCCGGCTCCCCGCTTCCAGGGACGCCGGGGTGTTGCCCTGCAGCGGCCAAAAAACCACTTCCGGACGGATATCAACCTAGCAACTGAGAGTCCCGCCTCTACCCGAAGCCAATAGGTCACTGACTGAGAGCTCCGGCATTGGATTGGTTCGAGGTCCCGTCGCAGGACGCATTGTGATGCACGTTTCCCGTTGCACGATGGGAATGTAGTTCATCATAGTTGATGGGGCTTCTCGAGTGATTAAAAGACCTGAATTTATATTTGAGGAGAATTTCTTCCAGGGTAGGGTAGGACCATTAAAAATATTAATAGTATGGGCCGGAGACTTAGCTCAGTGGTTCCGGCGCCTGCCGCGCAAGGTCCTGATTAATAGTAATGTAAGCTATCCAAGGCAATACATTGGTCATCATTTTTTAGTAGTGGGATTGATACCAGTTGAATAACAGTTACCATCAACAATCAATCCATTGACTGATCCTTTAATAAACAAGAAATGTGAATTGAAGGTAATGAAGATCCCCTTCCCATCCGCTCGCCTTCTTCCCCACCCCCACCCCCACCCCCCAAAAAACTGGCTCCGTGCTTCGATTAAATCAATGAGCACCTGACCGGGAATTAAAGAGACCTGGTTTCTACTCTCCATCTTTTCATCAGAGTCTTTCTGCAAGACAAGGATGGTAACAACTGTCAGAATTATTTCAGAGTCTGTTGAAGAAAAAAAAAGTGACATAATGCGTAGTCCCTGCATACACTCAGTCTAGTAGCAGTATTGATATTAATATAATTCCAAAGAGCTTTAGTTTTGCTTACTTGGAAAACATATTTCTTCCTCTCCTACTTGGCCAATCTCCTAGAGAAGTTAAGTGAAGCAGAGACACCTCTAGCCACTCATGAATGGGAAAACAAAAACAGAAAAAGCAGAGATTTTGCTAACAGAAAAGAAAGGAGCTGAAAGTAGTGATGCACATACCTGTAATCCCAGCACTCTGGAGGCTGAGGCAGGAGGCTCACCATGAGTTCAAGACCAGCCTGGGCTACATAGTTCAAGACCAGCCAGAAAGAAAGAGAGAGAGAGAGAGGGAGGGAGAGAGAAAGAAAAAGAAAGAAGGAAGGGAAGAAAGAAAGAGAGAGAGAGAAAAGAAAGGAAGGAGATGGTGAGGCCACACACCTGGGGCAGCACCAGTAGGTTCTAGAGTTGCATGTGGCTCCTACAAACGCTTGAAACTAGTCCCTGCACCACTTAGAATCTGATCCCACAATGAGGAACTCAGGTTGTTATTCTTGTAGGTCCTAAATCAGGTGGCCAGAACATATTTCCCATGTTTAAATCTTTCTGCCAAAGTTCCATCTATACTTCCTTTATTCTCACTACTGATGAAAACGTGTGGTTCTTCCTTCTCCACACACCTTAAAACTCTTACTGAGGAGCCAAAGAGACCAGAGTAGGAAAAGACTCTAAGGCTCACCAATTCATCCACCGCAGACTACACAGAACAGGGGTTAGAAATGCTATTTGTAGTTCCTAAATCAAAGAACTTGCAATCAATCTAATTGTCATCAAAATGCTTAACTTTTTTCCCTTAACATGGATTCCCAGCTGATAGGAAGAGCTAATAGAATAAGAGATACTGTGGGATTGATGGGATTATCATCACACAGATAAATAATTTGCACTGTGTTAGGCTTTTCCATAGGTTTGTACTCAGAAATGCAAACCCATTTATCAAATGTTCTCAGGTAAACATAATTAAGAGTCAGTCTTTCGGAGAGAGGTTAACAATAATGACACACATCAACTGACATACTAGTACTGTAGTACATGCAATCAGTGAGGACAATTTCACTAACTGTAGTTTGTCTTCTAGAGTTACAGATAAACATTTAGAGGTAATTTTTTTAAGGATGAAGGAGTCAAATTTTCCTCTAATTCTAGGTCAGAAATTCCATTGCTAGAATTTTTCTTTTTTCATACTGTTTATTTGTAATATGCAGAAAACCACCCACATTAAAAAAAAAAAAAAAAGGAAAACTTACTAACTTACTAATACTACCACTTTTTAAAAAGTATATAAAGTTGGGCTGGGGATTTTGCTCAGTGGTGCCACTGCCTGGCTTGCAAGTGCAAGGTCCCGAGTTCAATCCCGGGTACCAAAAAAAGAAAAAAATATATAAAGTTGTGAAATGTTTCTTCTACACTTTCAAATCATCTTATTTAAAAATTACCAAAAAAAAATTACAAATCATTCTTTCAGCTCCCTTCTCTGATTTATTTTTCCCTACAGTAAATTCACATCTGAAATACTGTTTGTTTGTCTGTTTGTTGTCTGTCTCTCTGAATTAGAATGCAAGCTCCATGTGGTCAAAGATTTTGTCTGTTTTATTTATTGATGTATCCTCAGTGCCTCAAATAGTGCTTAGCATGAAGAGGCCCTCAATAAACATTCACTAAATGGATGAATTCAGCAAAGAAAGAAAGAAATGAGTCCCTCCATTGCAGAGAAAACCATTGTTGGCATGTTGGTTTCTATCTTCTGGATTTTTTTATATTTATGTAGGTAAAAATTTGTATATATACACATAAAAGCACAAATACATACTTTAAAATTTCTACAGAAATGAGATCATAATGTACTTTCTTTAACATGTTCTAATCTTCATTTCATAAGAAACCATGCCATTGTTTTTGTTTTTGTTTTATGGTACCAGGGATCAAACTCAGGACCTTGCGCTTACGAGGCAGGAGCCGTGCCACTGAGCTAAATCCCTGGCCCTATGCTATTGTTTTTAATGGTTATTTAGGATGTCACTGAATAAATGTCAAAGTCTCAGTCTCCTATTTGTGATCATTTACCCGGTTTCTTAGTTTTTTGTTTGTTTTTGAGACAAGCTGTTGCTATGTAGTATAGGCTGGCCTTGAACTAGACATGTAGCCAGGCTGGCTTGGAATTCACAATCTTCCTGCTTCAGCCTTCCAAGTGCTAGATTACAGACAGGAGCCACCATGCCCAGCTATTTCCAAAATTTAAATATTTTACATACTTCTGAAATTTTGTTTTTTTGCAAAATAGGGCCCTAGATGACAATGCTTAAAGAGTTTGCATTTTTATATTTTAATAGGCATTCCCAAATTACTCTCCAAAAGATAGAATAATTTACAATCCAATCAATACCTTCACCAGCACCAACATATTACCAATCTAAGAGGGAGGAAGGAAAGAAGGAAGGGAGAGAAAGGAAAGAAAATGGTACTTAAAATACTGTTTTACTTTATATCCTTCCACTATTAATAAAGTTGACCTTTTTCATATGTTTATTGGTCATTTGAGTTTCTTCTATGAATTACCTGGTCACATTCTTTGTTCACTTTTCTATCACCTTGTTTGAGGGTTTTTAAGGATTTGTGGAAGCTCTTTGGGTATTGAATGCCATCTGTATTTATACATGACTCCTATATATACATGGATCTATTGATTTTTATTTTTTCCAGTTCCTCTCCTCTCTCCTTCTCTTCTCTTTTCTTCTCTCCTCTCTTCTCTCCCCTCCCCTCCCCTCCCCTCTTCTCTCTCT